AAACCTGGACCAAATTATGTAGAGAAGTGGGGGGACCACTCTCTAATTCAGGTCTTGCAGCCCTGGTGGGCGCTTCAATTAATACGGCCCTTGGCTCCTGCCCTCCAGCAACACAACAGCAGATGCAAAAGAGTAAAAAATGTTTTGAGTGTGGCCAGCCGGGACATGTCAGGAGGTTCTGCCCAAACAAAGAAGGTAAAGGTACCGCTTCTCAACAATATGGGACATCTGATGTGGGACAAGCGGGCCTTTGCCAACGGTGCCGCAAGGGCCATCATGCTGCTAAGGACTGCCGCTCCGTTTTTGATAAGGAGGGCAATTCTCTGACTGGCCGTAAAGACTCACAGCCAAAAAATGGCCAGAGGGGGCCCTCCTACAAGGCGGGGCCCCCTTTCCCCCAGCAGCCCCTTTCCGGGAGTGAACAGCCAGTCAGGGCTACCCCAGGGTCAGCAGGAGTGGACCTCTGTGCCGCCTCCGGACTCATACTAACACCTGAAATGGGAGTCCAATTGATAGAAACTTCATTTAAGGGGCCCTTACCACCAAAGACTGTCGGCCTCCTGCTGGGACGCTCCTCAGTTGCCCTCCGCGGTCTTACGGTCGTGCCCGGTGTTATTGACTCTGATTTTCTGGGTACAGTTAAAATCATGGTGCAGTCTTTACAGGGGACACTGATCATCAATAAAGGAGATAAGATAGCTCAGTTACTCATCCTACCTAGCCTGCATGATCAATTTCCTGCCAAGCAGCATTCTCGGGGTGATCAGGGTTTCGGGTCCACGGGTAAAAACTTCGTTGGCCTCCATATGACCTTGCAGGAACGGCCTATGTTGCTCCTCTCGGTCAATGGTAAGAAAATTAAAGGGTTATTAGATACCGGCGCTGACCGTTCCATCATCTCTCATAAAGATTGGCCGGCCTCTTGGCTGCTTAATGTGGCAGAACAGACTCTCCAGGGATTGGGATTCGTGCATTCACCCAGTGTGATTGTGCAATCCCTTCCCTGGCAGGATGAGGAAGGACATGCTGGTACATTTCAGCCTTATGTCCTCAACCTTCCGGTGACCCTATGGGGCAGAGATATATTAGTTCAGATGGACATCACCCTGAATACGGGATGTTCCGAGGTGGCTCAAAACATGATGAAACGGATGGGCTATACCCCTGGCAAAGGCTTGGGCATCAAATTGCAAGGAAATACCTCTCCTGTGCCCGCCATCACTAAGAGGGACAGGAAAGGACTGGGTTTTTCTTAGGGGCCGCTGTAATGCCTCTCGCGCCCACCCCTATAAAACTGACATGGAAATCGGATACCCCAGTTTGGGTGACGCAGTGGCCCCTACCAATAGAAAAGATAGAGGCAGCATCTCAATTAATACAAGAGCAACTGCGGCTGGGGCACATTCAGCCGTCTACTTCACCTTGGAATACCCTACAACCCACAAGGACAAGGCATTATAGAACGAGCTCATAGAACGCTCAAGCTGGTATTACAAAAACAAAAAGAGGGAATAGGCCATGGCCTCCCCCCGAAAGGAAGACTCTCATTGGCCCTGTTTACATATAATTTTTTAAACTTGAATGCACATGATCACTCCCCTGCAGAGGAGCATACCAGTCCCTCCCCTATGCACAAGGACATGGTAAAATGGAAGGACGTCCTTACAGGACAATGGAATGGCCCGGACCCAGTGCTCAGCTGGACCTGAGGTGCAGTTTGTGTCTTCCCACAGAAACCAGGGAAGGAGCCGGTGTGGATTCCAGAACGACTGGTGAGGATCTCCAACGTGCCACGGTCAGTGGAACCCCAGATACCTGAAGATGACCCTGGCATGGAAAATTGATCGCTTCCCCAGACGCGAGGTAACCGAGGTTTGGAGGACCCCTTTGGTATCGCCCGCCGCAGGTGTCCAGGGAGCCCCCATTAATACCAGGTTCCCCAAACAAAGCTACAGCATATACTTTTGCACACTATTGCTTGCCGCCGCTGCTAGCATGGCTGGTGCAGAGGACACCCAATATCTCTGGGGTCTTTGGCATCATCCTCCTACCCTGGCCCCCTTTTCTGCAGCATCTCCTGCATCACCCACGGTGTACACTATTAATCAAACTGTCTTAGACCTTCCCCATAAACGTGTTTCACACACCCGTTGTGAGTTCAATATGTACTTCCCGGTTACCCCTGACACAATTATACTGTCATATGCAAATTTGTCTATTACCCTAGAGAGGTCCAACTTAACCCTACCATTGCTGGAATTTGTGAATTGGACGCGCATGGAATGCGAGGGCACAGCCAGAATCAATTCCTCAGATGGGTTAAAGTCCCCAAAAACATGCCTGACCCTTAATCAGGCACGATGGCCCATCTTGCCCGACTATAGTAAGGACTTCCAGGCCCCGAGGCACCCACTCTTCGAATCCTGCGATACAAACATCCCTAGAATAACCAGACTGGCAGAGCTCTTTTGGCGCCGCTGTGTCCCAGTTATCCACCTTTATCCTATAACCCGTGAGGGATGGTGGCTCTGGACCACCCACCCTAGAAAAGAGGGTAATTTAACTAAGCTTCAGAATTATTCAGTGGGGGCCGCTTGGACGGCCACGGGGTATTGTAATGAACCTCAACCTGATCCCACTAGACACACCTCCTCCATCTTTGCGCAACATCAACTTTGCAACGCGATGGGGGCATGTTTGGACCTTCGCCCCTTCACGACACTTAATCAGACGCTGTCCAATACCTCCACCGCTAACGTGACAGGCGCGTCAAACGGGACCCATCCACTCAACACAGAGGTCTGTGTAGACCCCCCGTTTGTCTTTGTGCTTTCTCATCAGCACACCTTCCATTGTAATTCATCCGATAGCAATGAGACCTCTTGCTCACTTTCTAATTGTTGGACTGGTTACCCGGCCTTCGCCATTCTAGCATATCATCCAAGCTATCTTTGGGTTCCCGTCCAAGCCCAGGACACTCTCCTCATTGCCAACCAGAACAAAAGGAGGGATAAAAGATTGGTTGTGGCAGGCAGCGGGGGTGGTCTCTTCTCTGTTTGTCCCTGCAGTGGGACAGGCTGTTTTGCAGGCATGGACCTCCGAGCAGCTCGCACTGACCATGGATGCAGTCAATCGGCTGAGCAACGCCACACGAGAGACCATCAAGGCTCAAAGGCAACAGATTGAGCTTAACAGCCAGGCTATACTTCGGCTACAAGAAGAGATCCAGCTCATCAGGCAGGAGATTGATGCGTTGTGGCAGGTTGCCACTCAACTCTGTGATCAGAGGCGGCTGCCTTTCCGGGTCTGCGTCACCCCTGTTCGCACCAACCTGACTGAAACTACAAAGACTATGACTAAATGGCTGCAGGACATTTATTTGCCAAAATTTCACAACCTGTCAATGATTGTTAGTCAGGAATTAGACGAAATCGAAAAAATTCAGTTGAACCCGGTTAGATTTGATTTGTCTACCCTGAGTGATGTTCTAAAAGGTTTATGGAATCATGTCACCTCTTGGTTCTCCTGGCCCAATTTGACTACCTGGATTTTTATTGCTGTTGCTATCCTGGTTGGATTAGTGGTTGTTAAATGCTTGCTTGATCGCTTGATGCAGACTCAACAACAAGTCAGATTTACAGCCATGGCGGCTATGCAGCTGGCGGAGGCTGGCCCATCTGGTGGTCGGGCGGCTGCATATCTCCTTCATGTTGCAGAGCATCAGTTATAAGGATGCTGAATGGGCGAGCCGAAGACGGGTAAGATCAAGGTACCCCACCTTGCTCAACCTAAGACAGGCCCCGTTCCATTAAGACAGCGAGAGGTACCAAAGTGCGAGACCAGATGGTACTGCGTGACATTCTACTCTTGGGGTTTTTGAAGAGTGATGTCAGGCTATATGTCTGTATGCATCTAGGTTTCATCCGAATTACCCTAGCCCTGCGCAAAAGGATGAGGTTTGGAAGTCCCTTCCGACGTGGGGGTGGCCAACCTGTGCCGGGGGATGACCTCAGAGCCATGCACAGCGGGGTACAGACCTCTGTAGTCACTTGGAAGGTCTCGCTGTCCATCCTTGTAAATAAGAAAGGGGGAGATGTTGGGAGCCTGCCGTATTACCCATGAGAATATAGCCACAAGATGGCGTCCGCCTACCGCCTCGATGCTCCCCCGCCCATCGTGTGCCCAAGATGGCGCACACATCCTGCTTCCTGGTTCTTGCTCGGCTTACTGTCCCCGCCATATATGGTAATGATTGATTGCTTCCTTGTTGCCGCCCAATCGCCTGTCCCCACGTGTAATCCCATGATTGGATAACATTAGCTATATAAGCCCAAGTATAGGAAGTGCCCAACGCACAACACGTAGGAAGCCGTCAAGGACGGACGTGTATTGAGGTTGTAGCCCAGTCAATAAAGGAGCCTGCAGAGACAAAGTGTTCGTGTGCCTCATTCTGCGGGACAGACGCGGCACCGGACAGCCTGACAGATGACGAGACGGAAGATGGCATTCAGATACCACCCAGCTGCCTGTTCGCAGGGTGCCGCTGTACTATCGTCAAGGTCTGCATCTGTACCACCACCCCACCACCATTCCCTGCAGATGAAAAGCTCAGAGCCTTTTCCATGGTTCTAATTCTCATTCCGGACTGGAACAGTAGGTTCTTTCTCTTGTTGTCCTGTCCTTATTGAGAAGGAGCCTGGGGATGTGTGTCACAGCTAAGTCAATTGCTTTTCTTCGAATTCAGATGTAAGTCACTGTCTGGCAGTGAAGACCATCATCCATTTTACTAACAAACTTCAAAGGAGGGCTTGTTCACCAGCTCCCTGTTTGTTTAGCACCTACGACATTGCAGACACTGTTTTGGCAGTGTGGAGAGAGAGGTCAGGGCATAGAGAGGTAACAGGAGACAGTGGTGTGGTAGCAGATTTCGTGCTAAGAAACCTGAGATCACTGCCTGGCTTTAAACTCAGCTTCTCTTTGAATCCAGAGTGTCACAAATTCCGGTTTCACAGGACTGTTCTGTGGTGCTGGCTACGTGTTCTACCCCAGATGACCCGGGAGGGCATACCAGCCATACGCTTAACATTGTGTGGCCTTGGTAAGCCAATTTGCTTCTGTGAGCTTCAGTTTCCTTGTTTGTAAAAGGAAATGATAAAACATCCCTTGAAAGGTTACTGAGACACCCAGAGCTAAGGACGGCAAATGAAAGTACTATGTGAAATTGGAGGCAAGCAGAATATTTATCCAGACCAAACTGGGATCCATTGTGAATGCTGTAGGTTTTCTTGAGCTTAATCCTTTCTCCTATTTTCTGATAGGCCTGGCCAAAGCAGGTGACAGCGGACTGGGACCTTTGTACTAGTTCTTCCCGTTGCTCTGTGTCGCGGATCCTTGGTTGCTGAACCCCAGAGTGGAAACGAGTGATTCATCAAGGTAACTTCTGCAGCTGCTCACCCTCATCCGGGCCCACCCCTTTGGCGGCAGCTTGCTGCTGGCTTCTCAGCACTTTGGAGTTGGGCTTTGCAGGACTCCAGAGGTCACCACGTCTCCTCTCTCAGTCTTGGTCTCAGATTACTTCAGTCAAAGCCAGTCTCTCTGGGGCGTTCCTCATGGATGCAGCCAGAATCTTCATCTTCAGTGCCTCTGACACTTGCAAATACATCTCCAGAATCCTGGCATCCTGGACTGTGGGTAGCCTGGGGCCCAGTGGCCTTCCTTGGCAGGGTGCTGGGACCAAGAGTGGAAAGTCAGAATAGCTGGTGTTTTGGGTCTAAGTGTCTCCATCTCCACCCTCAGCGTGGGCGGAGGCCTGACCAGGGCTTGGCAAACATTTTCCAGAGGGCAGGATGCAGCAGGGCGCTCTGCTGGATCCCAGAGCTGTCCCGGGGTTTGGCTGGTGGCAGAGCCCAGAACTCAGTTGTCCTTCCAGGACTCCATCTGCTGTAACTGCTGTGCATGGGCATGTGGGGAGGTGGGAGGCGGAAGGAGTCATTGAGTTGCTGAGTGACTGACACAGGCCACCGATGTTGGGGAGGGCGAAGGGTTGGCGTAGCATCTGTGTCCCTGCTTTCCAGAACGCTGGAGCCACAGCAGATGTTGAATATTTGGGAACAGTGAAAGTGAGGTTTGATTTATTGATACAGGGGCACAGAAAGGGGCATCTCCTGTTGTTAAACTCCAGTCATTCTGCGATTTCCCAGTGCCAGTTGAAGGGACTCACACTGTGGGCTTTTTGGCCCTGGGGATGGCTTGGATTGCTCCTCTCTGAGCTCTTCAGTTTTTTAGCTGAAAAGTGGAAAAGATAACAGTTCTCACCTTGGGAATGGGAGTCACACAGCATGTTATGTGCTAGGTTCACAGGCTTGTAGGCTTTTGGACAGGGCAGTAGCCTCTTGTGATGTAGTACAGAAAATCCAGGCCCAGAGTGGGGAAGAGGCTGACCCGAGGTTGCCCAGCCAGGTCCTGGGAAGCAGCTTGTGTCTCTCTTCTTAGTGAAGATCCTACAGCATGTTAAGAAGTGGATCTTAGCTGGGGGTGGTGGTGCACTTGGGAGGCTGAGGCAGGAAGGTCACAAGTTCAACGTAGAGATATCTTTCTTGGAATAAAGTGATATGGACATATCTCAGGGGGAGGCAGGCACTGAGCTCCTCCACGTGTGCACACGTGCACTCACACACATCAGGTCTCACACAGTTTACCAGATTGTGGGCAAAGCATTAACAGCTAAGGGGCAAGGGGGCCATGTTGGTGAGTGCAAGCTGCTGCAGGCGCTAAGGTGTCCTGGGACCTTTCCATCAGATTTCTGGGGCAGCGAGTTAGCAGGCCAAGCTGGCTGCGGGCTTCTGGGTTCTCTGAGTCTCACATACTCTCTGGGTCTGCTGCTTGTCCTGATCCTTCCCATGCAGCCCCCTCCAGCAGCACTGGGTTTAAACTGAGGTCAGGCAGGAGAGGAAGTTGCAGGTTGGTAACGAAGTGTTCCTCAGTGGGAGGACTCTCTTCGGCTCCCTCTTCCTCAGTCCCCCATGACCTCGGGGTCATTCCTCACATGCCATCCCTCTCCAGCTCTAAACCTTGGTGCTGGCTGATCCATTTGCCTGGCACATTGCAGCCCAGGGGCTGCACGGCTTCCGCCCACCGCCCTGTGCCTGGCTCTGCGGCCACGGGGTGGGCACTGGCCAGGGGAAGGCAGTGGTGTCCTTCCCTCTCATCCCCTCACCCAGCTTTGTTTTCCCCACAGCACTGAACTACAGGTCTCCAGTCGGCGTGAGAGACAAGGAGCAGACGCTGCACACGTGTGTGTTGACTTCAGCACCAAGAGGCTGGGAATGGGAGCCTTTCTCTGCTCCTCTACCTCACACTCCTCTCCATCCCACGAGGTCACTGTCTCCATAAAAATCTCCAAATGCTCAGCCTTAATGCACGGTGACTAACCAAGTTCTTGAGACATACCCAGACAAAAACATTTAATTTCACCTGATCTTTCACGTTGGAAATCCTCTGGTCCTGTAGCACAGCACCCAGCAGGAGAAAGTTCTGGCAGGTCATTCCCTAGGGCTTACACTGGTCTGAAGGAATCACATTGAAATGGTTGCAGGTGGTGCTGTCCAGAGGAGGTGCTTTCCTCTGTCCCTGCCCAGGGAGATTCTTTGTTATCATGCCCATTCAGTAACCTCCACGGCCCACTTCCTGCGGAGCAGGACCCGAACCTCTCGCAGACTTCGTGGCTCTGCACAGGGGAAACAATCTGACTTCCAGGTCTTTCTCCCTTCCCGGCCCAGGAAACCTTTGCCCCTGCCGACGTGTGTCTCCTCCTAGCCCTCCCAGTGTCTGAGTCTGCAGCCCCAGCCCTCAGAAACCTTGTGACCCCCACAGCTCAACTCCCTCACCCCCTCAGAAGGTTGTGTGTTCCTCGGTTTCCAGCTTCAGCCTCAGCCTGTCGGCAGCTCTCCTTGCCACCCTGGGCCGAAGCTAAATTCAACATGGCTCAAACTTGCGCTATGTTCTCTCCCCAGAGCATCTTCCACACGCCTATCCACTTTCCTTGGGAGTCCCACCGGCCTCCCAGACACCCAGGCTGGGAATCGCAACACTCTGAGGAGCTTTTCCTTCTCTTCAGCACCTGCAGCTACTGAGTCACCACAGTTTATTCTGTGATAGATGCTGGCCAGCTCGTCACAGAGCCATCGTGTCAAGGAGCTCTGACTACTTGCCCTACCGTCTCCAAACCATGACTGCACGCTACTCAGGGTACAGGGGAGTTGGGGTGATGAGAGGACCCAGTGTCCTGTGGCCTAAATAAAGCAGGTGTTTATTCCCGTTGTGTGACAGTTGGAGGTTCGGGCCAGACGCAACTTCTCTACGGCACGTACAGGGTGGGTCGGCCTCCGTCTGCACGCACGGCTGTGACTGCTGCTGCTGCTGCTGCTCCAAGTTCGAAACCTTCAGAGAGAGATAAAGAGGGCGAGCCCGGCAGACGGCTGAGCCAGTCTAAGGAGTCATGAACCAGAAGAGGAGGAATGAGAGGATGGTGACACTGCCTTCCTTTGAAAGATGAGGAAACTGAGGCATCGATGAAGTGAGCTGGCTCCAGGCCTTGTTAGGCCTGGCTCCTAGGTCTGCCTTCCTGGAGCCTCTTAATGAATAGCACAAGAGTGGCCCAGAATAAGGTCTATTCAATCAAATCAAAGATCAACACAAGCAGAGCTATCTGGGCAGATTGCACAGAAGATGAACTACCCGAAGGAAGGGAGGGTGGGGTCTGGATAGACAGAGAAGAGTAGAGGAAAATGTTAGTGTTCCTTGGCAGTGGGTCTGGAAGTCATTTTGGGGTTTGGTCACTTCAGTTCAAATTCCACAGATTCCCCTTGGACGCTGCCTACGTGAAAGGTTGCGCTGGAGAGAGGAGACAGTGGTGACAGTGGTGACAGTGGTGAAATGTGAGTATTTGCCCGTCAGTAGCTGGGGAATTGTTCCTCGGGAGGGATTCAGATGCTCGGCTCCCTGGCTAGAACACACCCTCCAAGACGAAGCCCGCAGCTGCTCCCACTCAGCAATCCTTGCACCAGGGAGAAACTGCGGGAGCAAGAGTACTGTCAGCCCTGAGACAGCAGACTCGTTGGGGGTGCACCTGAGATTTCACTAATCCCTCCACTTATTCAGGAAACACAGGATCCCTCTACACAGAGAGATCAGATGCTGTTTGTGTTAATTTGCTATGGCTGCTGTACAAAGCACACCAGACGGGGCTCACACAGCAGACTCGCACCTTTGACTTGAGGTGGGATCCCGGAGCCCCAGGCGTTGGAGGGCTGTGTCTTGTCTGGTGACGTGTCCATAGCCACCTTCTTCCTGTGTGTTCTCACGGTCTTGCAAAGGCCCTCTATTCCTAACCCCTTCTGCTGAGGACACCAGGTATCCTGGACTAAAAGCACCCTCGTGACCTCATTTCACCTTAATCACTTAAGACCATTTCTAAAAGGAAGGTGCTGAGACTTGAGCCTGGGAATTATGGGGAGAACATAATTCAGCAATAACGCTGGCGCACACTGTGGGGAAGAGGAGAAGGGAAGGATGTAGGCTGACTGTCCGGGTAGGGGGCTGTTTGTGAGGCAGGTTTGCAGAAGCTCTCAGGCTGTGAGCAGTGTCCCACGGGCCAAGACAGGACACAGTCGTCTTTCTAGTGTAATGGGGTACCTGACGCACACGCAAGAGACCCAGCTCCCGTACAGGGCAGGGCTTGGCCCGGTGGCGCTGCTTTTGCGTGGGGTGACATGAACAGGTGACAGTGCCTGTGTCTCTGCCACAGGCTGTCCTCTCCCGTGCAGGCCCAGGGTGCCCAAGCCCAGGATTCTCACTGGCCCCCAACAATGGCCTTCAGGATCCCACTTTCCCACCTCATTAAACATGCGGGAGGTTGGGACCCAGCCAAGGAAAACAAGAGTGAGTTCAATCAATCTTTTATTGGGAAAATGCTTTTCGCTGAGAGAGCTGGGCCCTTGGTCGTTGCCTGGCTCTGGATCCTGACATCACGAGCCAGCAGGAAATTCAGGAAGGCAGGACAACTTGCCTTCCAGCATGACAGTCTCTCCAACCTGCTGACTTCTCCACAGTGCGTGCAGAAAGTGTTCAATTCAGTTTGACTCTCATAACAGCTCTGTGCAGAGGCAGAGGGAGAGAACAGGTCCCGCTGTTGGGTTGGGTTCAGGTATGAGGCCTGCTACTTCCTGCTGGAGAGGTCTTGGGCAAATCCATTTCTTTACAACTCGATTTTTTGTTTTGTGCAGTGAAGACAATAATTTTACTCCTTAGGACTGCTTTCAGGTTAGTTCATACCAGGTATGGGAAAAAGCCTGTCACATTCTGTTCACTCCAAAAGGAAAAGAAAAAGAAATAGAAACAGAAACAGAAACAGCTTAAGCCAGACTCCAGCTCCTTTACCCTTCTCAGCCTGTGAATGGGAGAGAACACAGCAAATAGCTCATAGAATTATTGTGATTAAATGGGCAACGGAGCAGAGTGTTCAGGAAAGGTTAGTTATTGGAATTCTTTCCAGACTCTGATGCCTTTTTAATCAAAAGAATAAGCACATTTACTGTCTTCCTTCTGAGTAGGTCAAATTTTAGATTACCTTTAACTTTACAAAGAATCTTATAACTTCAAATTTCCGGCGACACTGAGTCTGCTTGTGGGACGTCACTCCTGTTTCTGATAACTGCTGGGGGTGGGGCACCAGCCAGGTTCTTGCTTTCTCTGGGCCTCTGGCTCTGCATCTGTCTTGATTACTTTTCTCTCATTGCTGGGACAAACTACTCCACACCCAAAAGGAAGGAAAGGTTTAGTTAGCTCACTGTTTGTGGAGGTTTCAGTCCATAATCTGCTGGCTGCCAGGCAGGGTGGCGTGGCACTTCTGAAGCAGCACTTCAAGGCAGCAGCCAGCATGGAAGTGGGGAGAACAAGCCTCTTCTCCTCCCTTACATTGCGCAGCCTATCCTCCCCCTCAGGGCAGGTGTAACACTCACACCACCTCTGTGATCTCCTCTTGCTCAGGCTGAAGATATTTACAAAGTAGGGACCAGGCTCCCTGCTGAGTCTCTTAGTTAAATTTCTAAACATCTCAAGTTGACACAGTGTATCAAGCATAAGAACATCTCAGCTAGAAGCAGGGTGCACCAGGCACAGGCTGCTTGCAGCCTTTTAGAATCATTCCAGTTGTCCAGGAGTCTTTTGCACAAGCCCAGTAAAAATCCTCAGCCCTTAAAAAGGGAAATTTAATGGAAATTCTTCTGATCCATGTGCCCTTAACCAAACAAAACCTTACTTTCTAAGACCTCTTTGATGTTTAAGCTGCCTTAAAGAGTCTTTTTTAAAGGGGTATTTTAAGGCTTTTTTCTTAGAAACAGGAAATCAGGTTTTGGCAAGTGGGGAAGAAACTTGAACACCCTGAGCCGCGGAGGTGGGCGGTGGGTTTGTTACCCTCATAGAGGTTTGCAATGTCCCGGCACTGGCACGGGGGCCTAGGCCACCCTGACTGAGGCCCCAAGGGGCTGCCAGCTCAGAAGGTGGTGTGGATAGGTCAGCGGTGGCAGGCGAGGTGCAGGGGTGGGGAGCTGGAACTCTCCTCGGCCTCGGAGGCCTTGTGGGATGTTCTGTTCTCACCCTTGGTCTCACATCTTACTTTGTTCTCTTTTGCTGAATTTGGCAATCCAAGTTGCCAAGTACCTTAAGTGATCTCTAAGGAAAATACTTTTCACTGCATGATCGGCTTTCCCTTCCAGAAAAGTTTTTTAAAAGAGAGAAAGAACAGAAGAAGCAGAGCATACAAAAATGAGTGTACGTGGCAGCTGGAGTTCAGTTCCTGCGTTGAAAAGTTCTGAGTAAAGCCAAGTGATTCTGCAAAGCGAGGAGCAGCTGTAGAGCTGGAGGGAGGTCCTGGCTCTGCCTGCGGCAGTGCTGGGCTTGGTTGGGGTCCCCCAGCCCGCTGAGCCCCAGCTCCTCGGCCTCTGCAGGCAGGTTCCCATGGCTGCCGGTAAGACGGCAAGATGATGGGCAATGTGATAAGACCGCAAGATAAAAGATTTCCAGGGAAGCCCATGCTGCCCAGACCCAGGGCTTCATGGGTGGGCTGCGCCCGTTTGACTGACCCTCTGCCTGTGGCCTTCCTCAAAGCCGTGGTAGGCGCTGCTGGCTCCGAGGGGTGATGTGTGATGTGCTGGGGCACTAAGTGTGGGCCGGCTCCAGAAGGCTGGCTGCCACTGCGTTTCCCACCCCCCTCCTCCTCTCCTCTCTCTTTCCTTTCTCATCATCCCTCCTCTATCTTCAACCTTCTTTGTTCTCTTTGTGTTCTAAAATCACATAATAAAGTTTCTCCTTTAATATGTGCAGCTCAGCAGTGTTAATTATATTCATATGATTGTGAAAAATTCTAGAACTTTCTTATTTTGCAGTAGTTTTCACCTACTGAAAAGCACCTCTTCATTCACACCCCATCTTGCCAGCTGACATTGTACATTGTGTTTCTATAATTGTGACTGCTCTAGACATCATGTATGAGAACAGTCATGCAGTTTTTGTCCTTTTGCTCATTCCATTTAGCAAGATTTTCTCAAGATTTATCCATGTTATAGCATGTGACAGGACTGCCATCATTTTTTATAGGTCGGTAATATTCCCGTCTGTATATTCTACATTTTCCTTATCCATTTATCCATAGGTAGGCATTTGGACTGCATCTGCCATTGGCTTTTGTAGATAATTCTGTAAAACATGAGTGTGAAAATGACTCTTTGTGACCCTGCTTTCAATTCTTTTTGATTGTATAGAAGCGAAATTGCTTGATTTTATGATGATACCATTGTTAGTTTTTGAGGAACCTCTATACTGCTTGCCAAAGTGGCTGCATTGTTCCTACCCACAATGCAAAGGGTTCACATTTCTCTGCATCCTCACCAACACTGTTATTTTCTAATTTTTGTCATCCTAATGGGTATGAGGTTATATCTTGTGGCCTTGCTTTGCTGAATACCTAGTTTCTCTGTTGCTTGATGGCCCCGTGGCCTTGGAATCCTGTCCTATTTACTTGTTCCCAGCAGGTCAATGATAGCCCTGCTTAGAGTGCGTGCTGGGAAGCAGGCATAAATCACAAGGTCCCTGGATATGTGGCTTCCCAGGGCTGCTGTAATAAAGTACTACAAGCCCATGGCTTAAAGAACAGTAATGATTGCTGCACCATTTTGGAAACTACTAGTCCCAGACTCAGGCATTAGTGAAGTTTCTTCTGAGCTGGTGAGGGAGACCTTCATGACTCTCCCTGTAGCTCCTACTCTGTGTTTCTTGGCTGTCACATAGCTCAGCCCAGTCTTTTACTTCATGTTCACATGGACTCTCTGTGTCTCAGTATCCAAATTTTCCTGCTTAAACATACCAGTCATATTAGATTAGACTGAATCCGGTGAACTTGTATGAATTTGCCTATCTCTGGGAAGATCCTGTCTCCAAATAAGGTTACATTCTGAGTTACTGGGGATTCAAACTTCAGAGTCACTTGAGGGGGTGCAATGCAACACACAATACCAGGCATCTCCTAGCTGCTGCCAGAGATTGCCTAAGACTTT